AATTACTTTTCACATGGACTATTCAAAACAAATACTCAATATATTCATGAACAAATCATTATTTTATTTTATTAAGAATACTTCACTAAAAAATGAGTTTCTGTAAGTGAAGACTTGTAATATTAACTGAAAGTCTGCCAAATTTCGTGAAGATAGAACCACTATATTGAGAGTTATAAGTATTAAACCTATAGACTTTAAAACGAGTACAAAAAGGTCACGTGGTCGGTCAAATTGATAGAGTCCATGTTGATAGTGTTAGCCAAAGTGGGTGTTTCCCATTTGTCCTGTGTCCCACAATTCTTCTAGTTTGTTCTCAAAGATCATGTCTTTTAGTTCTGTGTCCTTCTCTTCAGCCTAGCTACTGCCCCTTATGTTTTCAGACAGATCCTGTGGTCCTTTGCTTGGCTCATGCATCACCTGGATCTTAATTTCCAATATTATATAGTTGTCTGGGTTCTCCTGGCCCTATCTTGACAGGAATTGGTGATTGCTACCTCCACTCTTCTTTGGAGGCCTCTTGTCTGGACAGGTTCGTGTAACTTTCTAAGTCTGTTTGACTCCCACTAATTTTCTCCCACCTGGGAGACTTTTTCAGCTCCTGCACAGGGTAGGTTCAACCCTCTTCCTTGTGTATTCACACCATGGATATTTTGGTATTCAAGGCTTTTCTCTATTGTATTAGGTTCTTGCTTCTCTAGGAGCTCTGATTCCTCTTGGTCATGCACACATGCATTCCCTTCGTTGGGCTATGGGGGATCATTGCAACATGTCTTGTGTTCCATTATTTGCACTTTTCTATCTAACTTCCTCTCCACATACCTGTGTCATGGTGGCTCACTTGCTCATCCATCCCGGAGTATACCCCCCCTCAGCCCAGAAAGAGATGAAGTTCTCAACACCACCACACACTGTGGGGACTAGTCTCCAGAGAAGTATACCCTGCATATCAACTTTCTAGAGATGACTGTGGCTTATCTGGCTTGCTTTTTTTTTTTATTACATTTGTCTGATCATCTTGTGATGATCCAGTTGGAAATCTGTATGGTCATTACTTCAATCAACCACCGAGGAGATATTTGCTTTCAAGACTTAAGATTTTTCACTCTGGACTTCCTTTCTTGGGCTTACAATCATAGTATTTACTTTATGACATGTCTGGTTCTGTAGTTTGTATCTGGTATTAGATTGCTTCTTTTGCCTTGATAGAATCCATCCATTGGATTTGTTCCCATTTTGGAAACCCTGATATCCATGGGTTTGCTATCCCCACTTTGGAGGTTTTTCCTCAGTAGACTTTGGTCATACATTTATCATAACAGGGTATCGTGCTTTCATCTTCACGCGTGGGATTTATCCAGTCCCTTGTATTATATATGGGATTTTCCTATGGATTAACCCATTTACTATCTCATTCCTGTCAGCCTTCTACTCTCACCCTCTGTTTATAAACATGGGTTGTCTACCACCACTGGTCCTTATGCTACTTTCTTCAGCCAAGTCATCCTAATCCTCCACATCTTATTTCTATCTTTCCCAAGCTTTTCATCAAGGCCCTATCTGTTTCACCAAATGCAGGTTACTTTAGGGCATTGTCCATAACCTTTCAACTCTTGCTGAATAACAATCTCTTTCTTTTTCCTCCACTTTGTCCGGTCTTACTCTCCTACTGGGCCTTTTGTTTGTTTTTTCAGGCTCTTGCATGACTCCCCTTTTAGCCATTAGCCTCCTATTTCTTTCATCATTTATCTGTCCTTCTTGCTTGTGGTCCTCTTTGTTCGGACATTACATCTCAGACACCTCCCATACTCTATTAGAGGGATCATTTGATTATGTTTCCAGTCTACTCCCTTCTTCTGAAGACTTGGGCTGACAGAGAGGATGATAGGGTGTTTTCTCCCATCTTCCTTCTCTTTATTTAATCACTGTATGATCATCCTGATCCTGTCCATTGTTATCTTGCCTGGGCTGCCCCTTTTTGTGGAAACCTCCACTGCTTATTTTTACTGTAGCAGACCTCCTTTCAGGACTTGTCTTGCAAACTCATCCATTTCACAGATGCTTCTTTGGATGAGTCTGTCCAGATGCTTTTTTTGCATCTCATTTCACTAGTTTTGGCATGTCATAGTCTCTCTTACTGACTTTGAAGGAGATCTTATAGGTTGGTATGCAGACTAAACATATTTGTTTCCCATTGTTTGCACCATTGGGTGGTTTGTTGTGCCTCTGATTTTTACCTCACTCTAGTTACCATTCTCCAGTCTACCCAGTCTTATTTTCTCTTGCCAATCAATCTATTTACCAGCAAATGAAGTCTTTATTTTTATCACCAGCCTCACCAATATTCTGTTTTTTCCACGACACCACTGCTTATCTCAAGAAGTAATCTCTTTCCAAACAGCCACCTCTCGAGTGTATAGTTTTTTACTAATTTATAATAATAACTCTAAAAAAACATTTTTGAAAAAACCAGTACACCTCTAAGTTTTCAAAAGATACTAAAATTTTCCCTAATATACAATTTTCTCTTTCCATCTTTTTTTTCATTCCATCACTTCTCAGAATTTAAACTAAATTTTCAGAATTAATCACTAAGAAAAAAAAATGAAAGAGAAACATTCTCAGTAGAATAATGTCTTCCTGACATGAGCTAATTTCAAAGTATTGCTGTTCAAGTTCTCCGAGTCAATGACATAAAGAGTAAATAATGAGGGACCCAGAAGTACCCCCTGGTTGACCCTCATTCATAACATTTAATTATCACCACTATTTTGTAAGCTATCAATGAGGCAATCCTTTATCCACTACTTACTTTTGTATTGAATCTATAAGCTACCAGTTTATATTCATATATTGATGAATTTTTATTACACTTGGTGTTTCAATTTGTATTTTTTATTCAGGGTGTGTTTGGTTTTTAAACATGTTTAAAAAATTTTCATGAAAGATCATAGAGTGTTTGTGATTGTAATCATAAATCACCATGTACCACTACTGTAACATACAGCTACAAAGCATTTCAATTTATATTTTTTCATTATAAGGAAACAGATGTTACAAGTGAGTTACAGCTTTTTTCCTAATAGTTCATAAATTGATTTAATGAGGAGTAATCCTACAAGTCTGCATATAACCAAATTTTCTTTCCTTGTTTTTTAGAATTTAAACTGAAAAAAATGTGGCTTAGCCCTAATGGAACCATCAGGAACATACTAGGTGGAACAGTTTTCCGAGAACCAATCATCTGTAAGAATATTCCCCGTCTCGTACATGGCTGGACACAACCTATTGTTATTGGCAGACATGCTCATGGTGATCAGGTAAAACTGACTCTAAGAAAGTATTTCTTTAGCTTGGTCAGTTTTACTTATTTTTACTTTATTTAGTTTGGTATTAAATTAGCACATTTTCGATGTCATTACTAAAATTTTCAAGAGTACAAAAAATAGTATAAGGTATCAGAGTTGTCACGTGAGTGTGAAGCTAGTAAGGCAGAACTATACCTGTAGTTTTACCTTATTGCTAATGATAATAATTATAAAAGTTTGATATCTTTGACATCCAGGTTGGCCTGATAAGCTGTGGTATTCAGCAAGAGGCCTTCTCAGTACTAGATAAGGCAGATGTTGTGTGGTTGACATATTGTTATTTATTCTTCTTTGCTAAATACTTTCTAATTATGCTTTTTGAGTGACTTGAAATAATATTAATAATTATTACAATCCATTTACTTTACCTAGTTCACACCATAAAAGTTGTTGTTTATGAAATTGATGACATAAATAATGTCTAGACCACTGCTATGTCTGTCGTATCATACCTGGCCTAATTAGCTCTGGTCTTGGGTGAAAAGCCTCATTGGCACTTGATACAAAAATTATGAGTGTAAAGTATTGTACATCAGCTATTTTTTCAGAGTTGGCTATTAGATAACCATGTTTTCAAAACAAAAATATAAAAATCTTGCAATTAGTTATTTTCTTCAGTTTGGATCACAGTTTCTCTGTGCCTAAATTTCTTTAATACTACAGTAATTCACTAAGAAATTCCTGACTTTTGCATCCTTGTACAAAAAAGGGTTAATTTAAATATTCTAATCTTCATGTTAGTAAAATTGTGTGTTTCATAATTAAAATCCTCTGGAGATAGATACACTTTGTGACGAAGGAAATGTTGGAACAGTGTATCACATTTCATTATTTTATGTTAATCTTATTAAGTTATGTTAAATTTTAATTATGAACCACACAAAATACTTGTTATGTCTCTGCTTGTTAATTGATTTTCCGTAAATTCGTTTCAACGAAACTTTAGCGACACAAGTCCTTACTTAATAAAACTGGTTTA